TTGGCAATATGTCTTTTTACTATTACAAATAGACTGAATTGACGATTCATACCAGCACTGTAGTGTCCTTCGACTTACCGTAATGTTCTTATGATGCAGCTTATCAATACTAATGACAATAGAAAGATGTAGTACAATAATTTTGATATTAGCGACCAAACTTGATCATTGAGTGTATCATTACTCTCAGCAGATAAATAATTGAAAAATATGTGAATACTGATGATATTACAGTCGTTCTCCTTACATTTATATTAGTGTATCATCTGCAATAAAATGAATAATCAATAAAAAGAACTTTTACGCATTCGAAGGTCGCAGGGTGGTGCTATGCTCCTACACAGAAAAAAATACCACTTCGTCATCATGAGTAAGAGAATCGAAACGATGCGTCTCTCTGACAGGTATACACGTCATAATCAATTATGAATAATTATTTTAATGCTTGATAAAGATGTGTCATTCATCTGAATATTTGATTGGTATATATGCAAGGCAAGCGATATTTCGTATTTATCTCGTCATCGATAGACAAACTATACGCTAATAAATTTTTGTAAACATTTGAACTTTTCTCGTAGAAATTGACTCATCTTTGCCATAAATAGACAAGCAACTCTTTTTCATCTTTGTCGCCATTTGCTCTTTAATTATAGACAGAAGACTCTTTTGTTTGTGCAGTTTTAGTTAATGATATTTGAATAAAAAGAATTTTGATTTGTGCTAAAATTCAATTACTGTCAGTTGATAATTTAAATGAAAATATCATTGACTACGTAATTCGCAAGAGCTTCAGATAAGTTCCATGTAATAGTGCACTGAATGCCGATACACCATTCCATTAATGCTATTTATATATATGTCTTGAGAGGTGTTTCTGCTTGTAAACACAAAGAGATTCGAAGTTTCCGATTCCTTCCAGAAAACAGTCAACTAGATCAATATAATCATTGAAAGATTCTATCTTTTCTTGTCTTATGTAACTGTTTATTGTCTTCCCCATGTTGAAGAGGGTTAATCCATTGAATCATGTCGTTGCTGCACATTCGGTTGAGTTAGTTCTGTGTTGATTGAAAAAACTCCATCGATCTATATCGATTTGTCTTAGGAAATTTATCGCTATTAATTCGTTAGCATCAACTACTTCTCGTCAATTTATTCATGGCATTTGCTGACAATAAATTTTCTCGATCTATACATCTCCATGATCCCTCCATTGATTGCCTAGCTGCCTTCGCTCAAACGTTTCATTTCTGGAAATTCTTTTTTCTTCTCTTAATTTGAGTACTGCCGTATTGAAAATAGATATATTTTTTGTTTACTTTAAAGATTAATGCTAATCATGATCAAAATTATTTAGCTGATAGTTCAAAACATGACATTATTATAATTTTAATTGTTGAAGAAACTATATTAGTTTGGAAACCATATAAACTAGAATAATATGTTCAACGATATATTAAAGCATTTACAAGTTACAGTAAAAATTTGTTGAAACAAAGTATATATTTATTTATAATTGAATATTGTTTTTTTTCCTTTTGTTGAATAGATTGATGAAATTGTGCATTTAGATAATTTAAGGTTTATATCGGTAAATGAATTAGATGAATGCTAACTTGAGGGTGTGGTTGTGGTATTGTCTTCGTAAATCCACACCCTCAAGCTAAAAAGAAATATGCTATTTTTATTGGCAGGGATGATGTTTTTCCACTAAGAATTCTTTTAGATTTTGAAACCAAGTTTTCGATTTTTGGTTTGTATTTAGAATAATTCACAAACAACATCAGATACGAAATCGAATGCATCTACTGTAGTAACAGCAAGAAATCAAGCAGCTGCAAGCGAACGAAAAGTTCATATTATTGTTTTCAGTTAAAAGATGATCAACAGACGGCTCTATAAGTCGATGCATTCAAATCAACTGATGAACAAACATTGAAACCAGTTAAACCATCATGATCTGCACAATCTAATACTAATGCTGCACCTACAACTGTTCAACCACAACCATAATAAAAGCTTCTTGGGCAGTTATTAGCTGCTCAACAACGTCTTCAAACAATCAGACAACAACAACAACGAGCAGCTATGTAACAAACTTAAACTCTACCAGCTACTTCATCTAATTAATATTCTCTTAAAAATTGACCTTAGTTTTTGAAACCAAAAACGACTATAAAATATCTCATTTTTTAGACAATCAATCGCGCTATGTTGATGTTCTTGCATTGACTAAAGGTACCGTCGCATCAAGCCCTAATGTTTTACTCAATGATCTTATACTAACAGCTTCACCTGGAATGTCAACATATGCTTCATTAAATCAAACAAATAATTATTTTGTACCAAGTTAGTCTAGTCTCATATTCTGCTTTTGTTTTATTGCTTCTCGTTTGACAATAATTGTTTTATTATTTTGCTCTAAAATGTAACACTCGAAAGTGCTTACATGATAATATAAGGAGAAATTAAGGTATTTAAGCACTGAGTTTTACCGCCGCCACCAATATCTTTATATGGAGTATTAACTCAGCTGGCATGAGGGCTAAGAAGGTAAATACAGAAAGAGAAAAAGAAACGAAGAGGAGGAAACAAGAAAAGAATAAAACGAAAACGAAAAGAAAAACGAACGCATCGAAAGGAGATGAAGCAAAAGAGGAGCGAGAAAGGATGTGTGTATTTCAAGGTCAAAAAAAAAGAGGTAAAAAAAGGAATAGAGATATTACATGTGCTTTTCTTTGTATACTATTAGTTTATTTCAATAAATGACATTCATTTAAAAGATACGATTCATGCTTTTCTATTAATCGTTTTACTCGATTGCTTTGAAGAAACTGGCCAAGGCGATCGTACTTTCTTTTATGAAATTCGTCCCAAATAAAAAATTTCATTATAAAAGAGTGAACGATCAAGGTTCGTTCTGTGCATACTCTTTAATCTTCTTTGAATGAAGCGTTTAACATGCTGTTCTAATGAATCTTCCTTAGTCATAGTGTATAGATTATGAGCTGAGACAAAGGGACAGTGATGCACCAGTTCAAGACTAACACGGAATTTTTGCTGTAATAATTGTTGATATGACATTGGTAGCAAGGGAAAGAAGGGAAATATCCATGCAAAATGAACAAGTGTATATGCGAAAAAGCCTTGCCTAAGCGCCTTAGTGAACATAAAACGTTTCGCACTTAAGCACTAACTTTTCCAAAGATTTTTGAATGTTTCCTATACATCTATCAATTGTTGGTTTCAATGATAGTTTGCTTGTCCAGGTGAATTCAAGGTATTTAAATTCGTTTACTAATTCTATTTTTTATCCATTCGTTTCTATGTTAATTCTTGACTTTTTTATTTGTGTATGAAATAACTTCCCTACTGTTTTTGACATGTTTAAACGTTGTTTCCATTTTTTTGAGTATGTAAATATTCGTTCACACACACGAATACCTTCATGTTCTAGATATAGCATCAAAGGCTCTAGTTTTATGGAGATAGGAGGTTTTATAATAACACAAAGGTCATCCGCGAAAAAATGACCTGAATGAGCTCCCATACATTGAATCAAATCACAACGAAACATAATTAACCCTTTGAGAACCGATGGGTCATATCTGTCTCACCTATTTTGTGGAACTCACATATATTTTCGAAGAAAATAGTGAGCGTAAGTTTTAAGGTCAAGTTTTCGCGGCTCTCCCCCCTCCTCCCTCTCCATTACTGACACCATAGCAACGAAAGCCCCCGTTACAGACACCCCGTCTCCATTACAAACCTTAGCAATTCACCCTTCGTCTCACCATGGATCTGAACGACTAGAATTAGAAGTCATTGGATATAGTTGCATACGAAGCACAGGTACATATGGGTGTGGGTGGGTGTGGGTGTGTGGATGTGGGTGTGTGGGTGTGGATGTGTGGGTGTGTGTGGGTGTGGGTATTGGTAGGTGTGGGTGTCGGTGTGGGTGTGACTATCGGTATTCTAGTTGCTCATCCTCATGCGTAGACTCACATCCACACCCACACCCACATCCACACCCCACACCCACACCCACACCCACCCACACCCTAGAAACCAATCTGATGACAATTGTATTTAAACATTTAATACGCATATCAATAAATTGCAATGATCAATTAAACATTTTAACTGTTCGTCTAAAAAAAAATTTCTCACATTTTAATATTAAGAATACCATATTTACTTCATACGAATATATATCAGGATTATCTGAAACTATTCGATAAGGATTGGTGGATGTGGTATTAATATTTTATGAAAAATTCAATTCATTGAATCTTTTGTGGATAAGAATCAGAAAAAAAATGTACGTTGTCATTTTCATTTTTTTTCAAAAAGATAAATGTAGTTATAGAACTTATACTTCTAAAAGAACTATTCTCCATAATCGACGTTTTTAGTGTTTTAAAAGTTATTACTGATCTGTAATAGCTGTCATCTAATTGATAGTTGTAAAACTCTATTATTTAAATTATGACTTAATAAGTATTTCCAGAGTATTATTTGTTATAAAATAAAATAAATATTTTGTTTTGAAAAATCGATTTGTATATTGATATGTAGAGGTTAAAAGTGTATTTTATATATATATATTACGTTTATGTCAAGCACATAAATTATTACATATAACTGTGTATTTATTTGATGCATAGAACAAAAAAATGAACCATGAGTCATGAAGACTAAATATTATAATTATTGAAGTGATCATTTTTAATTACATATTCAAAGTGTCAACTATGTATCAATTATTGAGATATCTGATGGAGTTCATTTTCGAAATGTATATAAGCAAATAGATTTTTTGTAAAATATATTTAAATTTATTCATACGTTCGCTTTGTAAATGATCTTTGATAATTGATCGTAATTCACAAATTATTCCAGTATCTCGATCGAATTTAAATTCTACGACTAAGTTGACTAATGAATCAATAAAATTGTCTTCATTTAGAATTTCAGCAGTATTACTATCTGATTCCTTAATAACATTCAACAATTGCATGATTGTAGGTTTCGAAATGTATAAAAACATATTCTTCATGTGTATCAGTCACAATCACAATTTTTAATAAATTATTAATTGATGTATTGTGCTTTGCTATACGAGATTGACAGACATTGCATACAAAAGAATTTAATTGTTCTATAACATCATTTCCACAGGCTTGACATCGGTACTGTTTCGGATTAGTTGATATTTTCATTATTTGACCTTTCGATATATATGTCGTTGAAACCGACGCCTCAACATTTGTTTTAACATTTCTAAGATCTTCAATCTTAAGAAAACTAAAACAATATAAAATATATACATAATCTTTAAGTTTGCGTGAAAAATCAATAATTCTTACTATGTATCAGAAACTGCTGATAATGTTATTTGAGAATTGATTAAACGACTTTTAACAAGTTTCATTTGATAAGATTCACCTAATCTAACTTGATGAAAATATGGTTCCCATAAAGTGAGTTCTAGTGCTCCAGTCTTATCACCGACTACGACTGTTTTTTTAAGCTTCTGTACCTTTTTAAAATCAGATTCTTCAAAAGTAAATGGAACTTCAGCACCAATTTCACAAATTTTAACTTCAATCGTACATAATCCATCGATCTTATTGTTTCTTAAATTTTCAATAGATTGTATTCGTACACACATAGGTCGAAATTCTAAGTTTTTATCAATTAATTTTGTTGTAGCAGCACAAGTATTGATCATTTTGTTGACGCAAGTTAAGAGATGCTCCATGACCACTCAGCATTGACTCTCGTAAACTCTTATGCAATGCACCGGATACAACTTTGCCTAAGAATTTTGTTATTCGTACTGTTGTTTGATCGATCATTGACAGAAGAAATGAATGATGATTTGCATTATTACTGTTTCTTGTAATAGCACCAACATTGACTATGTAACCGTCGAGTGTTACTAAAGACGTGTCTGTTTTCTGTTCTTGGCTACTGCTATATGACCGTTTCATATTAATTAAAAATTGTTTACTTAATGAGATATCGAAAAAAAAAAAGAAATATAACCAAATTGTAATAATTTTCATATATAGCACGCGCCGTTTGAAATTTTACTATTTTTGAAATAATTCAATTTTCTCTGTGTAGTATTTCTTCAACAATAACTCATCTTTAATAATGATGTACATAATGAAGCTTATATTAAACGTTCAATGTTAAATATATGACAATATTTTCTAATGATATTGAATATATTTATCACTAGAATAGCATAACTTATTCTTCTGTTAACTAAACTATAGTATATGTTTAAGTGAAATTTTATTATTTTAATAAATTATATAAATAAAAAGTAAATTGTTTTCCATGATTTGTTTTCTTTTTTAGCTAAAAGTTACACCACAGTTAAAACTGTAACAAAATTTTATAGTTTTCTTTCGATTAAAATTTTAAAATTGTAAATTATAACCATAACAATTAACATAAATTTTCCTTTATTCGAGTATGTTTTTGTAATAGTTAGTTTAGTTGGACTTGGTTGTAAAAATGAATTTTCAGGTGATTGAGATGACGATGAACATTCAGTTTCATCAATAGTTGCCAACTTATTAGATCTCATCAAAAATGTCTTTTTACAATTACGGGAAAATATTACGCAAAACAACGAATGACATTTAAACGATATATTTTCTCGTCTTTATTGAATCATTGATACGGTAGTCGTATCCTCCACAATAGACAATTGAAATATGCACCGATATATTTCTTTCTTGAAGGGGTCATCTATATTTCACCAACACACAGTTCAACAACTAAAATTAAAGAAAAAGGAATATTTTTATAGCAAGGGACATTTTTTCAAGGACAAAATATCGGAGGACATTTTTTCTGAGGACGAAAAACGAGGGACATTTCTGAAAGGACAATTTTTTGGGGACATNCTGCAACTTTTCCACCTTCATTAATCTGAATATCGCCCACGATTCGATGAAAAATGTCAGTTGATGCATCATTGATAAAAAGCTTTGAAATCAATGTACTGCTATTATTGTCTTCACTGAAATCAATCGTTTGAAATGCATTCAAGTCGGCTTTTAATTTGTCAAGTTTTTTCATCCATTCTTTCAAATCTGTTTCTACATAATCATCTTCCTTATGAGCTTCGCTTAATTTTTTTGTGAGACATACCAAATCATGTATTACTTGCGTTCTGTGTATGCCAATAATAGTTATGACTTGTTTACGAGCATCATCAGCTGCTCGATGGATTTTATCGATTGATTCTTGTTCCCATTCATTGATCTTTTGTATCAGAGGATGACAATTCGGTTGCACTTCTTGTTCGGCAATCGTTTGTTGAAATTGATCATGATTAGTCGTGAGTTCATCCATTTGTTTATTAATTTCTTGCCGATGTTCAACTACATGACGATAACAAAAATCTTTTCCACATCCACGACAAATAAGTATACCAGCTACCTTTTGACATATTGAGCATAGTGTCTTTCCTTCTGTTGCGTTTGCCATATCTGAATAAAAAGAAGATTGTTACTGATTGCAGTATATATACATACACCTTATGACAATTTAGACATATTTATAAAAGTTCATGACGAAGTCATGTGATATCTGAATTTAGTTACGTAATAAAAGAACTAAATTTGGTACTAATAGTAGTGTCAAACATTTTCTTGTTGCATATTAAACTTTTCAAATAAAATAATCGACTATATGGGAATTCTTAAAGACTATTGATGTAACTTGTACTCTATAAAAAGTATCTCTGTAGAATTTTTTATTAATGTTTTAATGTATATGATAAAAAATTTATGATCTATGCTGCATTGAATGATATAGTGCTAGTGGACAGAATAAAATAGCCTTAGACGGTATTATATTGACCTTTTTCAAATTCAAATAATATCCTATGATACTTCTACAATAATTTCAATCTTAGAAGTAAACTATTTAAACGTTTTTGTCTGATTGTTATTCAAGGTGCACATTTCTTTTCTTATAAATAAATAAATAAATAAATCGGTAGATTAAATTTTTTCTCCAGTCGGTTACTTAAACTAGTGTATTTCCTTCATAGAAGTTACTCTCAATGACTTGATAAGTATATGATCACAATATTCTATAATATCTAATATTTAGAGTATTTATCTAGTTTATGTATGTAAATAAACGATGATTAGCTAAAATTATAAAAAATAAAATAAAATCAACAACAAACGAGTCATTAAAGTTCACAGATAGAGCTGAGCGAGAACGAATGACAAGATAAAAGGAAAAGAAAAGAAGGAAAATGGTAATATTCCACACCGTCAGAACGACAGATGGCGTTCTTTTTACATACGACTATCAACAAATATAATTTAAAACTAACGCTGTTCATTTTTGAGAAATATATTATTTTGGTTCCTATTCACAAAATTACGTGTTTTTGGCATTGTTTTTCTAATAATAAACATAGAAACCTGGTAAAACTAGATCTCAACTAGAGAATGTTTTCCAAATTGGTTGATTTTTTTCCTTGATTTCATCGTGTCAACTATTTCAAGTAAGCGTTAATTTGGTTAAAATTTTAATCATATTATTAGTTTATAGGATACTTTGATATGTTGTCATCTGAAATAAAGAATTCACTTTCGATTGATCTATCTGTGAGGATACATTTCACAAACTGACAGCGTTCATTTTTTCGTTTATTGTTAGGAACAATCAATGTTTTTTTAACAGGAGTTTTTGTCTAGTTTTTTTTATTTCGCCTGAAACCAAGTAATTTATATTCTTAGATAGACTATGGAAATTCCGAAAAAGAGAAATAAAATTTGATAGAAGTTTTAAAATGTAGTTCAATATTCGAAGATATTGTCAAAGTTCATTTCAGAATAAAAATGAAACAAAAACAAACTAATGAACTGTTATAACTAATAAAGTATAAATATAATCATTAATTTCTCCTGGCAGTTTTGTTCGGCAACTTCTCTTCACAAATAGAAGTACGACTATTGATGTACAACATTGTGGCAAAAAATTGCCAAGGAAATGGACATGTATTCAAGTTAATATGGATTTCCTGTTTTTGTTGTGTGCGCTGGTTAGTTAAACGTATAATTTGCCGATCACAATCAATGAGAAGCTCAATAATATCGTTTTGTGAATTTTGACTAGTATCAGTAAAGTAGAAAAGTCCATTTGTATTGTGAACAGAATAAGGTGTACTACTATCATAATTGTACCGATACACATTATTATTTGTGGACATGTACAGCAGTGACTCTAGAGGTGTAGTCTTTCATAAAATACCACAAGAAAAATCTCCATTACGATGCATTGTTCCAATTTAAAACGCAGTCTATGTTGCCCCGATGAATATTCACATCTACCACATGCTGTTGCATTTTGATGGGTTTAACCGTGAAGAACGGCTCTACCATTTTCCATAATTTTAATATTACCAATAGTTCGTGACAAAAAGTCAGTCGAAACTCCATTAATATAAATCTTTGAAATCAATGTACCACTATCATTGTCTGTACCGAAATCAATTGTTTGAGCTGCAGTCAAGTCTTTTGTAAATTTTTCAATCTTTCCATCCATTCCTTCAAATATGTTTCTACATAATCATTTTCGTTCCGAGCTTTCTTTAGTTCTTGAATAAGATGTGTTAAATCATTTGTTACTTTTCTTCTATGTGTGGCAATAATAGTTAACAATTGTTGGCGAGCGTCAATAGCTTCTCGACGAATTTTATTGATTGACTCTTGTTCCCATTGATTGATCTTTTGAATCAGAGGATGACGATTTGGTTAGGATTCTTGTTCGGCAATCGTTTGTTGAAATTGATCATGATAAGTAGTGAGTTCATCCATTTTTTTATTGAGTTCTTGTCGATGTTCAGCTACATGACGATAACAAAAATCTTTTCCACACCCATGACAAGTAAGAATGCCCGTTGCTTTGTCGCATTTTGAACAAGGCCGTTTTTTTCATGTTGTAGAGGCCATGTATGGATGCTGCTATGATAAGCTAAGATCTGATTTGAGCATCGATAAAGGTAAAAAAAGATTTTATCGAACAGATGAAAAACTATATTAACTTAAGAATGAATGCGAAAAAAGACGCACAAGTCTTGCGATACTGAATCGTAGAATGAAAAAAAAAAGATAAGGGCTTTATCTTTTTTTTTTGTGTTCTATCATTGTATTTTGCTACTGATTACATTGCACTTATCGTTGTATATGACAAACATTAATAATGATGTGAAAAAGTGAGGTTTCTACATGAGCAAAGACTTCAGTTTGAAATTTTTCAATCGTTTTATTAAACTTTTTCTTCTCTTTCATGAGTTTATTCCACAATAAATTATCAAAAATGCTCAACATTTGCAAGAATATAACGTTCGCACTATATCTAATTTTTGTATTGATATTTATTATTTTACTATTCCAAGTATAATGAATGAACGTATAATTATCCTATGTTTTGAGTTGTACTCTAGTGAACTGTGTAACTTTTGTGCTTATTGCGAGTTTTTTTAATTCTTCAAGTCCAACGAACAAAAGCAAAGGAGAAAGCTCTTTCATCATCTGGATTATTTTCTATGAGGTAAAAAAAGAATGGATAAGTCTTACTTAGTACAAATAGAATTCACTCAAGCTAAACGTTGATGTAATTCATTGAACTAAAGAAATTTGAGTAAAACGATGTGTAAATCGTCAGGAATACGATCCCAAATGACATCACCAATGATAATAATGTTACACAGGGCGGAAGATAGTAGAAAACTAGTTTGTTGAGCTTTTCGAAGCATATGTATTAATTTGTCCTAGTCAATAAGACATGGTTCCTTTCCATAAATTAGGTTTATAATGATGCTTATCGTCGTGAGTTTAATCNCTTTTAGTCAAAAATATCTTATACTTATCTAAATATATAACACTTTTGTTGGAGATACAAAATATTATTTCACGCGTCTATTAATCATAAAAGCTATTACTTAGATCATATCTAAAATTCCATGTGAAGTTATGTTTTTGACTATAAAATATTTTAATCTATCGAGAGAAAGCCATTTTTACAGTAAAATAGTTAATGTATCTTCAATGATCATATATTAAAAATGATAGATTTTGTAAAAAAGAAAAATAGTGGCATAGCTCAAAAATTATTTGTTGAAAATTATTTTAGCTAGAAAAACGAGTATTTTTCAAGCTGATAAACATCTTGAATAATACAACTTTGTATAGAAAGAAATCGTAACAAAGATAAAAGTTTTTAAATTTCAGTCCCGGGGGAACAAATTGATTTCAATAGCTGAAATCACAAAATCAGTTTGTTCTCCCTTGCAATTGTCATGCTTTTCAAAACGCAATTCAGTTGATCTTTTATTTACTTTCTTTGGGTCCATGATCAAATTCTCTAGATGACTATGTCCTAAATCTAAGTAAAGAAAGAGAAAACTATAGAGACTTGAGTTCCATGTTGAACACGAAGGATAGATAATTAGCAACATTGGATTAGTAGTTATTCACAGTCAAACCTTCATTTTGGAGATGAAAGAAAAACTTGAATAATGAACTAAAATTCGAAAACAAAAACTACATCATTATCAATTTTAGGATAAATTTAGCTTAAGAGTTCAGACGTTCCATATGAAAAACAAACTTTGGAACTGCGTTCTTTGATTTGAACAATAAAATATGTTCTAGTATTAAGTTAGAATACTTTTTGCCTAAATATCCTAACATTGGGAATGAAAAAACGACTTTGCTGATGTATTCTTTGATTTAAGCAACAAGATCTTTATCAACTTAAGGTATTTTCTTGTTGTAATATCCTAACTTCAGAGAAGAAAAACAAAATTTTACTTATTTTTCTAGAGATCTTTAGTGATCACGCACCTAATAAGAAAATGATCATGTAGTTATTTACAAAGAATTTCTCTCACAAAAAAGTCATTTCAAATTGAAGGAAAAAAATACATTTATAAATACTTGTTTATTTATAAAATGACTTAAACGAAAAAGTGCTTGAAATGAGACTAAACAGAAACAATTGTGTAAAACATGTTTCAAAGACTAGGAAACTTCTTCTCTGTCCGCGGCTCCTGTTCGTAACCTACTAATCATTGCACAATTCGCAAGAGTGAAAACGGAGCCAAACTAAATTTATTATTATGTTATTCATCATAGTACCTGGCTCTGATATGAATAGATATATTTGAATTTGGATAGACTAAATACAAGTAACATATTCTTAGTTACCGTGAAATAATGTCTGAAGGCGATCGAAGTAGAAAAAGAATCAGTAAATACACCAGCTGTATATCCAAATGAATAACAAAAGACCAAAAATTATGTGACGAGAAATATGTTTGTCATTCTCTTTTATAATAGTGATTACTCATCCATAGATTATCATTCTTTTACTTTAGCGTACAAAAGAAGTCGGCAAATAGAAGAAAATGTAAGCAATACTTTTTCTCGTCTTATTCATAAAATAATCATTAAATTGATAGA